ATATGAATTCTATGCATACAAATTGAATGACTGATTCTTTTAATATCAACTATTGTCCATCCAAAGACTTTCTTAAAATTTTTCAGAATTTTCATCAACCTTTCTTCTTCTTCCATCGTTAACTTTGAGGAAATTATAAATGGTACAGTAGATGAATCTCTTAAAAAGGCATATTTTAAATGATCAGGAAGCAATTTCAACTCAAGTTCTAGAGGTTTTCTGTTGATGGATAAAAATGATTTATCTCCAAAAAAAAAAATATTTTGGCTTTATTTCTCTTCTTCCTTTCTCGAACATAGTTTGCATCTTTTTCTTGAACATAGTTTGAATCTTCCTTACAAAGGTCTTCACATTGATCTAATTCCTCTTCTTGCTCGTGTTATTTTTCTTCGTAATTAGTTTTTTCTTCGTAATTAGTTTTGAAATGACATTCATTCAGATATCTTATAACATCCATTCTATAGCATTCATCATCTTTATCTTTTGGAGGATATTTAATTGATCCTGAAATGTTAAAAATAATAATTTGATCATTGATACACATAGTTAATTCCCCTTTCTGCACATCTATCATTGCTCTTCCTGTGGCTTGGAAAGGTCTCCCCAAAATGATATGTATCTCTTTATCTTCCTCCATATCAGCACAATGAAATCAACGGGAAAGGTAAATTGATCAACTTTCACTAAGACATCTTTTATAACTGCTTTATCATATGTTATTAAACGGACTGCTAACTGCAAAGTTACAATAGTAGGGGATATTTCTCCTTATCCCAATCTTTTAAATATTAATAATGGTGATAATGACATAAATTGATAATGACATAAAGTTAATGCTTGCACCTAAATTACATAAAGCTTTCCCATAAAATATGTCTCCTATTGCACATGAAATTTTAAAGCTGCCAGGATCTTTAAGCTTTTCAGGATGCTTTTTCTGAATTATAGAACTGCACTCCTCACTAAGTGCAACAGTCTCATTATCTTCAAACTAAGAATAGCCTTCATAAAATTTACATAGCTTGGCATTTGTTCTAAGGCTTCGACAAATGGAATATTAATTATAAGCTTCTTAAACATTTGTAGAAATTTTGAAAATTGCTTATCCAACATCTGTTGACAAAGTATATGGGGGGTCTCTGAGGAAATGGAGGTGGTGAGTTTTCCAATTCAACTTTTAGCAAAGAAGTAGGTCTCTCAAAATCTTTTGGATCGTCCTCTTTTGATTCTTCAATTTCTTCTCTCTACTTCATTTTCTTTTTGAACCTTAACTTCCAACTCTCTTCCGCTTCTAAGTTGAACGACTTTTACTTGCTCTTTATTCTGGTCTTTAGAGTTTGTTCAGTATTACTAGGAAGTGCTCCTTGAAATCTATTACATAATGAATTTGTGATTTGTCCAAGTTGTTTCTCAATATTTCTAATTGTAGCTCATTGACTTTGTAACTGATTCCCCATTTGTAACACCACTTCTTCTATAGACAACTTCTTCACCTTAAATTATGTATTGCTGTTGAAACCTAGAGGATAAGTAGATCTATAGTTATTATTATTTCCTTGGTTGTTCCAGTTTTCCAATGAGTTCCCTTGATTGTTTCCCCATTGCTGATTATTACCACCCGTAATATTACTCCAATTGAAGTTGGGATGGTTCTTCCAATCTGGGTTATAATAATTTAAATATGGGTTATTCTGTTTATTATTTATGACATTCACGATTTCTAATGATGCTTGAGAATCTACACTTTGGCCTAATGAATTCTCTTCAATCATGGAGATTGATTGAGAAAAATTCATTCCAAATTGGTTTAACTTTCTTGAAATTGCAACAACTTGATTTGCTAACATAAAATTGACTACTTTCTTAGGATTCACCATCTCAGAAGACCATTTAAAGTTATTGGTAGTCATTTCTTCAATTAAAGCATAATCGTCATGAAATGATTTTGACATCAACAAACCACCACCAGCGACATCGATAATAGATCTAAGAGATCCAGCTAATTTATTATAGAAAGTTTGAATTATTAACCAATCTAGTATAGCAAAGTGTTTCTTAAGAGTTCTTTAAATCATTCCCATACTGCAAAAATAGATTCCTCTTCAAACTGGTTAAAAGATGTAATATCATTTCTAAGCTTTGCAGTTTTTTATGGTGGAAAATATTTAGCAATGAATTTTTGTGCTAAATCCCGCCAAGTTCTAATAGATCCAGGTGCTAACGAATTCAACCATATCTTAGCTTTATCCCTCAGTGAGAAAGAAATAACCTAAGTCTTCAGACATCATCTAATACACCATCGTATTTAAATGTAGTGCACAATTCTAAAAAATTGGCAAGATGTAAATTTGGATCTTCAGTTGGTGATCCCCAAACTGATTATTTGATACCATTTGAATAATAACAAATTTAAGCTCAAATGAATTAGCCACTACAGTAGGTTTTTTAATACTGCAATGAAGTTAATCTACCGTAGGGTTGACATAATCTAGTAAAGATCTAAATTCTTGATGAATTTCAGTATTTTGATCATTTTGATTTGCCAAATCTATAAATTTGTAAGATTTTTCAAAATTTTTAATTTTTTTACTTTTTCTAATTTTTTTAACAATTCTTTCTAATTCAGAATTGTAGGACACTAGTCCTTAAGAACGGAAGGTGTTCGTTGGATCGTCGAAGTAGGTTCCTGGGATTTAGCTCCCTCCTCTTTCCTCTTGCTTAGGATCTCCTTCCCCTTTCAAGAATGTGGTATAATTTTATTTATAAAGTTCATATTACAAATAAGGATGAAATCCAAACAACTCTGATCAAATGATTATGAGAGATTTTTTTAATTGGACGGTGTACTAAGACCATTTGAGTGTTTTAATGATGTCAGAATTGAACAATTTTAAGCTCATTGAATTTTTCTTATCGAGCCACTCAATTTGACTATAGGCTTGTCAGTTTTAGAATCCGTTTGACCTTTCGATCATACCCAGAAAGCATCTAAAAGTGGTTTAATGACTTAATTTGGGTCTAATTTGACTTCGATTGGACCAATTTTATCAATGTTAGATCAGCCTCGTCGGACCGGTAATTTTGATTGTTGGTTTACTGAAATGAAAGTTCTGATTGACTTTTAATAAAAGTTTGAACTTTTCTTGCTAAAAAAATAATCTCGAGATTCATTTTGAATGATAGAAATTGTTGATGGCATATCAATTTTGTTGAGCTACCATTTTAATTATATTCATTTTAACAACTCAATTTTATTTTTTGACAATAATAAACTTCTTATTTTTAGTAATATGGGTCTTATCATTTTATAACAAATAAAAATTAATGATTTGAGTGAGCTTAGCAGTTGAAAGTGTACATATATATATATATTTCAAATACACCTTATTCGAAATTTACACATTATATAATTTAGTCTAATAATCTTTAATGAGTTGTCATGAACAAAAGTATATTCATGTGTCCCAATATACTTTTATGTAATGTTTTAAAAATTAGATTGTACATAGAATCAGAAGAAATAAATAGTTTAATGTTCAATGATCTCAAGAGGGTTGCACCGGTTGAATAATAAATATTAAAAATTTTCAGTAAAATTTAAATAATTTAAAAATGATGTAATAATGATTTTTTATCAATTTAACATATAAAATTCTAATTTATAATATTTTACTAATGATATTTTAAATCAAAATTTTAATATCTAATACTTTATTATTTTTAAAATTTTAATTAAATATTTAAATTAAAAAGTGAAAGCAGAATTTCAGCCTAACTGGACTAGATTGAAGGACTGATTTACAATTAAAACAATTGGGCCTTCCTTAGAATCATAATAGATATTTATAATTAAAAAAATTTCCGTTGTTTCCGTCCAAAGATTGTACGTAGGCCGGGAAGCTTCTGGGCCATGTAGATCCCGTGATACAGGTCAGCACTCAGCAGCGGTTTACCATCAACAATTATTTATCGGTAATAAAATATCAATGCACCACCACAGCGGAATTCAACCCATAACAAATACGATTTAACCAGAACCACTTCACGTCCGCCCTATATATTGTTTAGTACAAGAAATGCAACCACCCATTTCGTTGAGGCAGCCTCCCGAGTTCCATTTCGCCAAACCCTAGCTTGGCGGGATTTTACCCCCATTTTTCTCCTTGAGCTTAGGGTTTTTCTTAAGTATTCTTCTCTTCTCTTTAATTGTTCTTCGTTCGTCTTCGTTCGTCGGCGAATTAGATCTAGTCTCCCATGAATTCATTCGGCGGAGCTCGCAAGAGAAGTAGGCCTTACGGTGCCATTGGAAATGGCGGAGTTCGTGGCTTAAAGAGATCCAAAGGTATGTTGCTGATGTTATTTGTTTATTTTTTTTTGTACTTTGTGTTGTTTATGGAAGGTTATTTGTTAGATCTACCAAATAGTCTGCATTTACAGGGTCCGAGGGTTCCATTTCGTGACGTCCTTTTTTCTTTCTTTTACTTATCTCTTTAGAGGCGTTCTTCCTTGGCTTTTTTTTCCCTCTGTGTTCTTGAGTATTTTTTTTTGTACTTTGTGTTGTTTATGGAAGGTTATTTGTTAGATCTACCAAATCGTCTGCATTTACAGGGTCCGAGGGTTCCATTTCGTGACGTCCTTTTTTATTTCTTTTACTTATCACTTTAGAGGCGTTCTTCCATGGCTTTTTTTTCCCTCTGTGTTCTTGAGTATTATTACAATAACAATATGAATGCTTTTTTATAAGTGGATTCTTTATCTGGACTCTTTATTTTCCGTGCTTCATCTTTTGTGGATTTCTTTTGATGCTTCAACATTTGTGGATTGTTCTTGATGTTTGATTTGTTGCCTTCTTTCTGAAGTAATCTGTGATAGAAATTGTACAAGATTTAATATATTATTACGTCAGATGTTCCCTTGACGGCTATCTTGAATTATTTTGAATTCTTTTAATGCTGTTTTATATTTTCTTACTCGATGAAAGCACAAGATTTAATATGTTATTGCATGAGAACTTCACTTGATGGCTGTTTTAATTATTTTCAATTACAGTTATAGAATGTGTATGGTAATGCTGTTTTCTATTTTTTTTCTTTTGGTTTACATGTTGAAAAAGGCTGAACAGATATGTAGAGTAATCACTTAGAAAAGCTCCCAAACACTCGTTTACGGGAACCTACTGATGGGGAGTAAGGAACTAAATTTGAAATAAAAGTTTGGCTTGATACATTAATGGCCAAAGTGTATGAGTGAGAACCAACTGCATCACAATTAAGACACCATTTTTTTATCACTGGGGGTGAACAGAATTTCAACACCAAAATTTTGAAAGTAATTTTTATTGGTGGATTAATTTTATTAAACTAAAGTTTATCTGATATGAATCATTGACTATTTAGATTTGCTGTTTGAGTCTTAATTGCTTATCCCATTTAGGAAGGTGTACACAATTTATGAAGTCCTTCCTAGATTTATTGAAGCTATTTATGCAAGGATTCATGAGGAGAGGCGGAAACTATTATATTCCATGTTGCCACAGTTTCATCTAGTTTTCATTGATTTATAAATTTTGGGTTATTTGGGGACTTGATTTTGATATAAAACACTTTTTTTTAATGAAGTTTTGAGTTCTCTTCCAGGGGAACTTCTTGTAGATCTGAAATTTTGTTTAGATTTTAATATCTTGGTATGATTTAATAGTAGTTTATGATTGATAATGCCTCGGAACACCTTTTGATGCTATGGTCATTCGTTGATTTTTTTTGTTAACAAGTTAGAAGATTGCTAAATTGCTACCACTCTTGTTGGAACAAGCTAATTATGAGTTTGTTGTCACACTTCTAACGGGCACACTTAGTGGTGCATTTTCATCTTTATTTTTGCTCAGCTCAATAGATTGTTTTTTTAAAAAAACATAATAATCAAATATGTTCAAGAGTTGAAGGGCCTAATTTTGATCTATTATATTTTTCCATGTTCTCAACATTTTTTTTTGTTTGTAGATCTCTGTAATATTAACAAAAAAATATTCATAGTCATAAAAGAAAACAAAGTTTTGCTTGAACTTTTAGCTTTTTTATATTTCTTCAAGCATTTTTCTTAACATAATTTTTTTCAAAAATAGCTTTCTAAAGTAATTTTTATGTGTGTTATGTTCATTAAACGATGTCTGTAAGGGGATTTTTAGGTAAATGTTAGAATTTTAACCAATTTGTTGCTTTTAATGTGCACCACACATTGATAATGTGTTTATCTACAATCTGTGCAGCTTATGTGATGTTTGTGTCGACACATTTAGAATGTGTTGTTCAAGGTGGTGCCATGTTTTAGTTATCCATGTTTATTTTTGTTGAATGTTTGATCTTGAAGCAGGGCACTTGCGTCTTTTATGTAGATGCCACTTGGCAAGTGTAACTTCTTAAAGTAGGGCTTGAGTTGACTAGTCATTGTTTGTGGGACCACTTTGTAGGCTCAGTTTGCTTGTAGGCTGCTACATGTTGGCCTGCATCAATTGTTGTGGTTGTCGTGTGTATAAAGATTTACTTTTTTTTATTTTGAATTCACTAACTCTGCACATGTGGGAATCTTTTTTGAGGTCGCAGCAATGTCATTAAGGTCCTATAGTGAGGTGAATCATCTATTTTGAATCATTTGGAAATTATTCTTTTTATTCACCTTATTGTTTAGGCAATCTAATGTTAATACTTTACATAGTTGACCAAGTGGGATTAGTGACGGGTGATGATCCTTGTATGTTATGGGTAGCTTGGAGGTGTTTGCGAGCGATGAAAAAAATGAAGTGTCACATAGCTTTTATTTGCCATATTATCATAAGATGAATTCATATATTTTTCTTAAAATTAAAAGAGATTTCTTAGTAATTGCCATATTCTCTTAGAAATTTTTTATATGAGGAGAAATAGAAAGGTAGAAGAGGTTTTGTCGGGTTAACTGGAGGGAGATAGTGCTATGCCTTTTAGGGGCCTGGTCCATTTGCATAGAGTTCCAGAGTCAATTGTTTTAGATAGGGACAATGTGTTCATAAACCATTTCTAGAAAGAGCTATTTCAGTCACTGGAGAAAGTCTTTAAGGGGAGTGCTGTATATCATCCTCAGGTTAATGAACAGACAAACGTGGTCAACAGGAGTGTGGAGACTTACCTGCGTTGTTTTGTATCCGATATGTTGAAGCTATGGGCCAAGTGGATCGCGTCGTCAAAATGTTAGTATGATACTTCATATCACACCGCAACACATACCACTTCTTTCAAGATATTGTATGGGCGGGATCCATCTCACTTGATACATTATGGACATAGTGCTACACCGATAGAGCAATACTTAGGAAGAACAAGATACTTGCAGAACTTAAGGGGCATCAACTGAGAGTTGAACAAATCATTAAGAGGAAGGTGGATTAACACAGGAGAGGTGAAATTTGAACCAGGGGACATTGTCTACTTGAAGTCAAGGTTCTATCAATAGAAGCCATTGGCCAGGAGTGAGAAACTTTCAATGCGATACTTTGGACGTTATGAGGGGATGGCATGCATTGTTGCAGTGGTACCGTTTGAAGTTACCACCACATCCGCATTACACTAGTCTTCTTTGTATCACAACTGAGACATGTGATCAGAGATCATACACCATCATTTACACTACTGTCATTGTTGTTGGAGGACTTAGAAGTGATTTTGTAGCTATTAGAAATTGAAGGAGTGTCTTCGGGGATTAGGGGGAGCAATGTAGGTATTAGTTAAGTGGAAATGACTGCCTGACTATAAAGCCACGTGAGAGCCTTATGAGGTGATCCATAAGCAATTTCCACCCTTTCACCTTGAGGACAAGGTTGGGAGGGAAGTATTGTTGCACCTATTAGGGGATCGGTCCCTTTTGGACTGGTCTAGGTCCCCCTAATCGACTCGACTTAATGGCAGGCGGGGCGGGTTGTCCCACACAAGGGAAAGGAGTGACACTTTGTTGATGCCGAATAATGTAGGGAA